AATAGTCTTCCCTCCAACACACCAAAATTCTATCAATAGCAAAAGAGTACCATAACGCTCCAAATACCTATATTCAAGACTATATTATGAAGGCATAATAATTGTTAATTCATTAAATATTACACTTTCAACGGAATACCGCATCAACAATATGACAAATTAAATATTGAATTTTGTTTATAAATCGTGACATCAAGTAAATTAACAAAAATAAGTGGTGACTGAAGTAACCTACATGACCTCCAAGCAGGTCAAGAAAAAGATTGAATACAGCTTTGACCCACTTAGCTTTGGCAATAAAGGCATTACTCTCAGTAGCATTTTTAATAGTTAATGACAGTCCAATAACCAGTAGGATATATCCGAAAAGAAACAAGTTAGCCGTCCTCAAAAAGATCTGTTCTTCCGTTCCCGTTGTCAAATCAGGAAGTACCGTCTGCACAAACCACAGCAAGTTTAAACAACTCTAATTATGATGAGCTTATAAAACAAAATTCGCTGTCGAAGAATTGATGACCTTACCGATGTCATGAACAATACTGGTATTTGAGTAAAGATAAAATGTCCGATCACGGTTTTAGAATTACTAGGTGCAATGACTTTTTAAAAAAAAATAGGGAGTATAAAGCAGCATATAAGCATTAAAGAAGAGGACAGGAGCAATCGTGGCGTATAATTCATTGTCGATTTCGAGACAATTTTGATCTTGTTTGATCACATAAGCGTAGTAATGCAAACGATGTATTACGACAACAATCATATAAGCCGCAATATATAGCCCGCATCCCCGAGTGGAACCTATTTCAAATTTCTTACTCATCCATTTAGAGTTTTTTTCAAGGGTGAGGGTAGCCAGTCATAACAAGCTTGTAAACAAGCTCGTAATTTATACGAAATGCTCCCTCTGTCTAGATCACTCCCTATCTCTGGATCATAAGCTTGGGGCTGAGACTGGTGTGACCTGAACGACACATAAATACATAGTTCAAAACAATTCAAACTTTCCAGCCACAAACAAGCACTTAATGTTGTAAAACTAAATTAGATAAGTTTTCAAAGGCAATATAGAGCATGTTTGGCTTATTATTTCTGCCCATATTCCTAATCCTATTCTCCAAATAATGTTTGACACATTATTCCAGAAATATTACCCTATTTTTTAAATTACTTTTAGACCCCATAAGGTTATTAATTTCATTAAATACCCCCTGAAAAAAAGTTTAAAAATTAGCAAAAACACCCCTGCGACCCATACTTGCCAGATTCTGACAACCACCGTCGGTGGTAGTCGGAATCTGTACAATGGCCTACCTGCCGACCAGAAATGGCCGGAAGTTCACCGATCTAGCCTTTTCTGGCCAGATCCACCAGATCTGGCCGTAACGACGGCCAAAGAAATGGCCGTTGTTGACCGTCAATGACGGCTAGATCCATCTAGTCGGAAAATGCCATAACAACGCGTTACGACACAGATCTGACCGGTCTGTGTTGTAACGTGATTTTTCGGCCAGATTCAGGCGTTGGTGGCCAGAATCTGGCACTGCAGGTGGTGGGGGTATTTTTGTCATTTTATACATTAGGGTGTTTAATTAAATTAGCAAATCTAGGGGTTTTTTCATAGATTTTTAAATTTTACCTCGTAATACTCCTCTATCCAACCACCCAATATTATTCCTAAAATCCTATCCAAAATAATAAACCAAACGCACCCATAAAGATTACACTCAACCATCTCTTACATGATGAATAACGCAAAGTCTTTGGATTTCGATTTGCGAAATTGTTCTTCAAATACTGGACCATTCAGTAAGTATATAAAGATTGATTGGAGGATGCTGAGTCAATATATATATGAAGCCTAGACGGAAGCATAAATTAAAGTCGAAAACTGTCTTTATCTTTTCACTACACTATATGCAATTAAATAGATGCTAAATTAGTTGGTTTATTTGTTATTTGAGCTAGAAGAAACGGAAATTTTAGGAAGAAGTATAGTATAAAGGAAAAGTAAAGAAATGTTGTATGTTTAGTCGAAGTCTCTGTATAATAAAGGGTACAACTCAGCATATGAGAACTTTAATTTGATAAACTAATGCTTTTTGTAGCACCTCTTCAGAAGATTGTTGGAATTTATTCTTTATTGCATGGGTGGGGCAAAAGGAATAACTGTTTGTTTCTTTCTCTTATTACTTTTCGATCATTATTATTATAATCAGTTCAATTATGATTAAAGCAAGAATAAAGTGATTGTATAATAATTGCTTAGGCTCTAGATTTTTACAGCAAAAAGAACTTGCTAGACGGGCCATTTTTAAAACAAAAAGTAAAAAATGTGATATCTCAAATCATTTTTCCTTGTTATCTAAGCAAATGGAAATGTTCGAAAACTTGTGGGATTTATTATGTTATGAAAACAATAATAATAACATAAATTGAATTAGCTTATAAATTTTGAATTGGCTCGATTAGAAAGATGAATATATATATTTTGGTGAAGAACGTAGCTAGTATATATCAGTGTTCTAAAACCCAGACCGGACTGGACCAATTGATCAGACCCATCCGACTAGAACCGTAGCCTCTCCAGTGGGGTTCTGATTCTAGGGGATTTCTACTAGATTTCAAACCTATATGGACTAATTAGTAATTTGTTTAGAGCACTGTACAATATTTTAAAATTTTAGGGACTACTTTGTAATTTTAAGGGGTATTTTTGTAATATATTAAAAATTTCAGGTTTAGTTTATAATTTTTTAAAATATTTTTGTGGCTAACATCACTAGTTAAGCGAGGAACTGCGCCCTTGACCAATTCAAGTCCTGGTCCGATTTTCAGAACCTTGATATAGTAAAACCTCTCTATAGTCATAATGTTGGGACTAACTAATTTTATTATTATAAAGAGGTTATAACTTAATGGAGGTGTAGTTACAAAAATTATTGTTTTTTATTTCTTATTTTATAATTCATGTTTTAGTAGTATAGTATTAGGATTTCAATTCATATTTTAGTAATATTAGGATTTTAATACAGCGTTTCAATTACTTACTTTTGAAATAGATAAAAGATCATTTCTTAGAACCAACAAAAATAAGTGTCATTGATGAAACTGTAAATATAGTTGATGCATGGTCAATTGATGTGAAGCCACAGACAATTGTCAATGGTTTTAAGCGCTGCAAAATTAGGACCACTAATATCAATGAATTGTAAGTTATAAATGAAGTGGATAAGGAGAATAAAAGAGTCATTATAGAATTGAGTGATCAAATTCGACAAATTCACTGTACTAATTGAATGGATAAAAATGTCTTCTTCGATTATCCAAATAAGCAACAAATTGTATATACTTTAACCAAAGGAGAAATCATTGTTGCAATTAGACAAGAAGAGAAAGGAAATAATCTTAAGGATAATCGTACGGAAATACAAAAAGTCTTTTGTCATGAAGCTCTAAATATGCTTGAGAAACTAAAAATATTTTGGCTTCAACAAGAAGGTATTCATGCTAACGAGCTACCACGTACTCGTAAGATAAAAGATGTGATAACAACTCTAAAACATAAATCATTGTCCCAAACAATTATAAATAAATATTTTATTTTATTTTATTTTAAACCTTTAATTTTACATAACCTATATTTTTTTTTGTAATATACAGATAATTATTACTATGTAGAGACAACTTTCCTTAAGGCAGGAATTAGAAAAATTATAACTTATTACAATGTAGAGTTTATTCTTATTTATAACTATCCCAAATTAGGACTAGAATTTTTTATGACTATGTAAAATTTATTCCTATATAGAGTATTACTATAGAGAGGTTTTACTATATATATATATATACTTGAAGACGTAATATCCAAAACAGTATTAAATCTTAAAATTATATACAAAATTGAATATTTCTACTTTGATCATTTTGAGTTCATTATTTGAAAACAAAAACTAATGGAATATGGAATATGGAATGCATGCAGGAATCACGTCAAATTTATGGCTAATTGAAGATATTTAGCATCATTGATCAAGGCCGATTTCAAGTAATTGATTGACGATGAATTGAAGTAATTGATTTCCTTTTAATTTTATTTCCTTTTAATTTTATTTCCTTTGTTAGCCCTTAGTTTTTGTATAAATTCATCACTTGTAAAGTGTACAACACAATTCAATATACAGAAAAGATATCAATTGTATGATCCAACAAAAAACATATTCTTGGTTTCTAGAGATGTCATATTTCATGAAAACAATTTCCACTTTATGGGTAGCCCTGTCTCATCCAACACTAATCATCAGTAGTTGTCTCATTTCTTGGTAGACAACCCATCTGCATCTCCACCAAGGCCTCTTTTTACCATGCATCTTATCATTTATATGAGTTCACCTATCGTAGATTCAGATTTTTCCCTATCTAATCCAATTTCTAAAGAATCTCTTTCATCTAATGGCTCTTTAGAATCCCCAATGCCAGATAATACAATTTTGGATCCTAAACCTATTCAACGACGGCCTACACGATCCATCCGACCTCCCATTTAGACAGTTGACTATGTCTGTCCCACTATACAGACTACTTTAGGTACCCCTTACCTACTTCAAATTATGTTAGATATGACTATTTCTGTTCTGCACATAGGGTATGTGTTAGTAAGATTTCTACCAATCATGAGCCTTCATGCTACTCTGATGCTATCCGTCATGCACATTGGCCTCAAGCCATGGCTGACGAACTAGCCCAAAATCATACTTGGGATATAGTTCATTGTCCTTCTCACTAGAAACTGATTGGATGCAAATGGGTTTACAAATTCAAACATCGTGTTGATGGCTCGATTGAATGGTACAAAGCTAGTCTTTTTGCAAAGGGTTTCACTCAATGTCAAGGTTTTGATTATCAAGAAACTTTTTCCCCAGTTGCCAAACATGTTACCGTTCGAACTTTTTTGTCAAGTTCTGCTATACAAGATTGGTCACTGCATCAAATGGATGTCCATAATGTCTTTCTCCATGGAAACCTTCATGAAGAAATTTACATGGATCTCCCTCCCGGACTTTGCTGCCATGGGAAGAATACTGTATGTTGTCTGTGAAAGTCTCTTTATGGTTTAAAACAGGAGTCTAGATAGTGAAATGCAAAATTTACAGAGGCATTTACTAGCATCGGGTTTGCTCAATCTAAACATGACTATGCACTTTTTGCTCTCACTATTTACGTAGATGACATCTTGATTACAAGAAATGATGAGATTGTCATTCGAGCTTTAGAAAAGCATCTCAATCGTCATTTTGACATAAAAGATCTGGGAGAGTGAAAATGTTTCTTGGGAATTGAGATTGCAAGATCTCCAGTAGGTATATCTCTTAGTTAATGAAAGTATGTTTTAGAGCTTGTGTCAGACTTTGGACTCTTAGCATGCAAACCAAGTGCTATCCCTATTGAACCAAATACTAAACTCACAACTCAACAGTATGATAATGAGACATCATCCTCAGAAATTGATCCTCCATTAAAGGATCCTTCTCACTATCAAAGGCTTGTGGGAAGACTTATCTATCTCACCATGACACGACTTGATATATGTTATGTCGTTCACATCTTGAGCCAATTCAGGCATGGGCCAAAGCAATCCCATATGGATGTAGCAACTAAGGAGCTCAAGTACTTAAAGGGATGTCCTGGCTTAGGATTTCTCTTACCTCGAGATGGGAATTTGGATATCACAGCATATCACCGCATATGTGATTTAGATGGAACATGTGTCCAATACGAGAAAATCGCTCCTGGTTTCCGTGTAAAACTAGGAGGATCTCTTGTCTCCTGGAAACAAAGAAGCAATTAACAATATCGCTTTCTTCGCAAAGCCGAATATGAGCTATGACAAAACAACATATGAGATTGTCTAGATCCTTGGTTGCTAAGAAATTGGAGGTCAAACAGGAAAACCTATCAGCTTGTATGTGACAACAAGCTGCCAATGACATTGTAGTAACCTGTATTCCATGTGAGCACGAAACATATAGAAATTCACTGTTATTTGTTAGAGAAAAATTTAGAAAGTGATAGAATTTGAGATGGCCTAACTCTTCACCTAATAAGGCCTTGTTGAATGGGAGGATTACCCTCTCTTATAAACTAGTAGACTTGCGTGCCTAGTTGTATGGGACTCCAACACTCCCCCTTACGGTCAAGCCCTATGTTGGTCTATGCCTGTTGACGGAGGTAGTTATTGGCTCTAACTCCTCACCCGCTAGTCAAACACTCAACTCAATTGAACCTGGGCTAGGATACCATGATAGAATTTGAGATGGGCCTAACTCTTCACCCAATAAGCCTTGTTGAATGCTAGGATGATCATCAAAACCATGCATATTGGACTACGAACAACCAGCAAACATCTTTACAAAACCATTATGCAATCGTTAGCATTCTATTTACTTCACAAGCTTGAAGTTTTTGACATCTAAAACCACTAGCTTAAGGGGAAGTGATGAAATATGGAATATGAATACATGCTAGAATCATATCAGATTTATGGCTAATTGAAGATATTTAGCATCATTGATCAGGCTGATTTCAAGTAATGGATTGATGCTGAATTCATGTAATTGCTTTCCTTTTAATTGTATTTCCTTTGTTAGCTCTTTAGTTTTTGTATAAATTCATCACTCGTAAAAATACGACACAATTCAATATACAGAATACACTGAAGTATTTTCTTCATTCTTTCTTTTTGCAACTTCGCATATATTGCCTCTCTTTCTGCCTAGATTCTTACAAAAACAAATGATTTTGATGATTTAAAGCCAGCTGGTGTGCAGACAAACCAATTTTTTTTTTTTAATTTTTAAACTTTTGTTTTATTAGAAATTAAGGTGTGATAACACAACATCTCTCCAACCTAATATTCTTCCGCTTTTGTAACTTATATATAACACATAAAGATGTTGATGGATACGGAGAATCACATAAGACCCATCATAATCACGTGTTTTGTACCAGAATGATATATAATTCCCTTAAAAATAAATTTTATAAGCCGTCTAGTTACTAATAATTGATGAACGTATCTCAAAGAATGATAGTTAACAATTCATAGAGGCATATTTCCTAACTACATTCTTCACCACAATATAATTATTATTATTTCATAACATGTTAAATCCCACATATTTTCGAACATTTCCATTTGCTTAGATAACAAGGAAAAATGATTTGGATATCACATTTTTTACTTTTTGTTTTAAATATGGCCCGTCTAACAAGTTCTTTTTGCTGTAAGATCTAGAATCGAAGCAATTATATATAAATCACTTTATTCTTGCTTTAATATTACAATAGCAAAAAAAATTGAAAAGTAATAAGGAAAGAAACAAACAGCTTCGTTATTCCTTTTGCCCCATTCATGCAATAAACAATAAATTCCACAATCTGCCGAAAAGAGGTCCTACAAAAAACGTTAGTTTATCAAATTAAGGAAGTTCTCATATGCTCAGTTGTACCCTTTATTAGACAGTGACTTCGGCTAACACTACATGTCTTACTTTTCCTTTATACTATACTTCTTCCTAAAATTTCCGTTACTTCTAGCTCAAATAACAAATAAAGCAACTAATTTGCATCTAATAATTGCATTAGTGTTAGTGAAAATTAAAGCAGTTTTCGACTTTAATTTATGCTTCCCTCTAGGATTTATATTGTATTTGACTCAGCATCCTCCATCAATCTTTATAACTTACTAAATGGTCCATTATTTGAAGAACAATTTTGCAATTATCGAAATTCAAAGACTCTGCGTTATTCATCATGTAAGTGATTGTTGAGTGTAACTTATATTGTCTTTGAAATTTTTCCAGTTTAGGTTTACAACATTAAGTGCTTGTTTGCGGCCGGAACATTTGAATTGTTTTGAACTACGTATTATTGTCGTTCAGGTCACAGCAGTCTCATTCTCAGTCTCAGTCTCAGCTTCGGGCTTTGATCCAAAGACAGGAGTGATCCGGGGCAAGGTGGAAATCGTCAACGCATTTTGGATAAATTACCACCTTGTTATGCCAGGCTAACCCTACCCTGCAAAAAACTCTAAAATGGTGAGTGAAAAATTTGAAATAGAATCCAACTTGGGACGCGGGCTATATATTGCGGCTTATATGATTGTTATCTTAATGTATCCTTTCCATTACTACGCTTATGTTCAAACAAGATCAAAATTATCTCGAAATCGACAATGAATTATACGCCACATTGTTGCTGTCGTCTTCTTTAATGCTATATGCTGCTCTATACTCCCAATTTTTTGAAAAAGTCTTTGCACCTGGTCATGGTTCCTTATTCTAACCGCGATCGGACATTTCATCTTTACTCAAATACCAGTATTGTTGATGACATTGGTAAGGTCGTCAATTATTCGACAGCTAATTTGTTTTATAATGTCATCATAATTAGAGGTGTAGTTTAAACATGCTGGTTTTTGCAGACAGTTATTCCTGATTTGACAACGGGAACGACAGACAAGATCTTTTTGACGACAGCTAACTGTTTCTTTTCGGATATATTCTACTGGTTATTGGACTGTCATTAACTATTAAATATGCTACTGAGGGTACGGGCTATCTTGCCCATGCTAAGTGGGCCATGCTGTATACAATCTTTTTCTTTACCTGCTTGGAGGTCATGTAAGAATTCAGCCACACTTATTTTGTTAATTTACTTGATCACCACAATGTCACGATTTATCTCAACATTCAACACATAACACTACATTGGTATTCAATTTAAAACTCATTGTATGTATTCGGTCTGTTTGATTATTGGTTTTAAAACAATCTAAAATGCATTTGATATTCTGTTTAAAAATTGTTTTCAAATTTAAAAATTTGGAAATATGTTTGGCATGTATAGTATCTTAAAACAGTGGAAAATTGTTTATACCTTTCTAATATGGTCCGAATATAGGTATTTGGAGCGTTATGGTACTCTTTTGCTGTCGATAGAATTTTGGCGTGTTGGAGGAAGACTATTTTGCAAGGAATAAATTTAATCCTCGTTCTTTCGTCTGTCGTGATAAACATAAGAATATAGGAGAGTTAAACTGTCCTAGATTAACAAAAATTGCTAGCGAGATCGCAGGGTTTGGAATATTCGAGGATGCTCTTAAGTCTGGTATTGTGCATTTCAAACGCCAATTTCTGAAGAAGTTTTTATACTGTTTAAGATGGGGCCTGCAAGCTCTCAGGTTTGTACATATGAAAATATAATTACTTATCTTTTCTAAATTAACATCTAAATATTTTTAATAAATACAGTTTAGAAGCATTAACTTTAATTCGATTTTTTAATAATCTATTTATAAAAGGATATTTTGAAAGTATCCTTTGGATTAGCTTTTGAAAGTATCAACTGATTTTTAAATGTTGATTCCTAAAATACCATCATAAATAATGTAAGTTAGCAAAAAATTATACTAATAATTTAAGAAAAGATTCTCATTCAAGTCATTGTCTTTTATTTATTATTTTTATTTTTTTGTGGATATGTGTGTTGTGGTTTTTCTACAATGTGATTTGATTCGAATATTAATTAGTTTTGAGTTGCTTAAAAGAGATAGAGATTGCAAATTTTGAGCTTAATTTTATATGGAATACAATCTTTGTTTGCAGTTGTTCGGCCAAAACCTGTTACCAAGTTCATCTATCATGGAAAATATTTTTGTGGTTTCTATAATCATCTATTCCACGGTGCTGTTTGCTTTTTAATCGGAAATATGCAGGTTGGTACATGTTCTATTTATCTGAACATACTTAAGATTGAAGCTCATTAAATTTAATTCTACTAATGTGCTTCCAGCAAAAACAAACATTCTGGCACCCAAAGATAAGCAGACGGATTCAGAGAGAAAAAAAAAAAAGAGACGTCGTTCTATACCTATACATGAGAGATGACGTTGTTTCAGGACAAGAGCCGGAGCAGTCGACTTTAATATTGAAGGCACAAACGGCGGCAGTGCGTGTCCTTCCGAAGCTCCGTCAAGAATTGCAAATGGAGGTGATAAAATTTGCAGCTAAGCAAATGGCGAGTAGCCAAAATTCTTCACATAGAAACTTTGTTCAATACTCTTCCTGAGGATCTCCTAGAAGGATTAAGATCGAACTTTGCTTACCGCAATTGAGGAATGTGAGTACCTTTGTTTCTGTTGACTTTTAATATTGATTTTAAATCTTCCAGCTTTGGTTGGATATGGATTTTTCTCTTCCTTATTCTTGAATGTAGATCAAGGTAGAAGAGTTCGAAACTTGGGGGAACTAGCGTGAAGGATCTTTGTTATCATGTTGGAGTTGTCGACTACTTCAGCCATATGCGAGTGCTGTAGGTAGTTTGATGTATGCCATGGTGTGCACGCGACCCGATATTGCACAAGCAGTGGGAGTTTTGAGTCGCTTTATGTCAATCCTGGTAAGGAGCATTGGAGTGCTGTAAAAGGGTTCTTAGATATCTTCGTGGGACCTCGGATTTATCGTTATGTTATGGAGGCATGGCGACTGGGGATGAGCTAATGTGATTTATGTCAAATCCTGGTAAGGAGCATTTGAGTGCTGTAAAGAGGTTCTTAGATATCTTCGTGGGACCTCGGATTTATCATTATGTTATGGAGGCATGGCGACTGGGGATGAGCTAGATGTGATAGGTTTTGTGGATGCTGATTGGGGAGGTGATCTCGATAGTAGGCGTTCCACAAGTGGGTATGTATTCTCCTTATTTGGTGCTGCTGTTTGTTGGATGAGTAAAAGGCAAAGTACTGTGGCTTGTCATCAACTGAGGCAGAATACATGGCACTGACACATG